CAGGTGCATCTTGACGTACTCTTGGATCTCTTCGCTCGAGTCCACGTCCCTGAGCAGCTCAAAGAGTGTCGGTACGTGCACGTACGACGGCAAAGCCTTGAGCGACTCGTAGCTCCAACGAGTAAACTCCTGATCGGCTGCGCTGCGCCTCTCCCAAAGGCTCTTCTGCTGTTGGACACAATCGGCCTTGCCTTCCAACGACGGGAAGCTGGTCATGTTCTCGATGACGATCGGCTGCTCCCAGGATTCCACGGGTTCTACCGGAAGCTTCTGGCAGACGCCGGCCCACGTTGAAGGCTGCGGACTCGGTGGCAGCCGGGTTGATACAACGGTCGGCTGAGGTATGGGTCGCCGTTGGGACGATGTATTTTCGTAGCCTCCCCAAGCGCCCTCTCTGGGCGACCTGGGCTCGACCGTGGCCGCCGCTTGGCACATCTTTGGATACTCTTGCGGGCCGTCTCCGAGGAAGAGATACGTCGACTTCTGGGCAGAGATTCGTTGGAAAGCAGACTGTGGTTTCGAAGCCTCACGCTGGTCGTGGCGGCCGCCGTGACTTCGTTCTTTTGGTGGTGGCAGCGGCTTCAACACGGCTTTGAAGGGGGCTTCGCATTCTGGAGAGCAGGGTAGTACGGGGCGACGGCCCGGGACTTGGGAAGCTGTGATTGGGCGGCCGGGGGGAAGCCGCGGTTGCTTTCTCTGGTTCTTGGATGGCTTTTGGACCAACCAGTTGTCCACCACATCCCCGCTGCTGGTGGCTTGTCCCTGGCTCTTGAAGGGAAAGCGGCCCCAGTTTTTTATTACTTGTCCGAGCATCTGAAACTCCTGGTCGCAAGTTCGTCTAACGCTGAGGGACATCTTCAGGTCCCCGGATTCAAACCAGGAGGCCATCTTGTCTTCGGGGTAGGGTCCGTGGACAAGTCCTTGGTCATCCCTGAAGAGCCAGAGGTAGCGGCCATCGTTGCCTCCAATCGAGCTTACTACGATCGGTTTGGGAGCTTGTGGAAGAAATTGATGTTGGCGTGACTGCGGTGGCTGCTGATGTGGGCCACCAGTTGTGCCATGCGTCCCTTGGCGGCGCGGTTGGGAGGACCAGGGCGATATGTACTTGGATTCGAATCTCGTATTGCTTTCGTCGATATCCTCCGCAATCGCCTGGGGCACCGATTCGTAGTCTGCGAAGGCGGTTTCGTGGCTCGTGTCCGTGGGGGGCGGCAAGGCGTCCAGGACCGCTTTCTTCAACATTCGTCACACAGGCTGTCGTTCGGGCTCTCGGCTGTGCTGGCTCATGGAAGCTGCTCGCCGAGTTTCTGCTCATCCGAGCTTTTAAGGAAGAGGAAGAAATCAGCGATTCTTTGGTTCGTCCACGAGGGTTCTTGCGGGTTATTACTGGGGATACAGACAAGGCCAGTGCGTGCAGCGCGTGTGCTGCGTATACGAGTGTACGTTCTCCTTGGTACGTGCTCGTTCTAGTGCGTGCAGAATTTGGCAACGTAGCATACGAAACACGACTGGACGCCATATTTGAAGGCGCTTTTCAGAGTTCATGCTCAGAATGAGCTCACATTAATAGGCTGCTAAGACTGTAATCTTGATGGTGTGGAATGCACGTTGCAAAGGAAATGTGAAAGCTCGCCGTCAGCCCGCGCTCAGCAGCCGCGCACTCAGCTGTGGCCGCCAGCGAATACATAAACCTTCCCAGGAAACAGCTTCAGGCCGGTGGCATTTTCAGCGTTCGTCCGTATGACGCGTGATTTGCTCGCTTTCCGAAGCGACAAACATGTGCGTGCTGAACTATGGAGATCCCACGCTGGACTGTGGACTTGTAAACATCAGAATGGTGTATACTTGGGGACAATTTTTCTTTTCACTTGCACGTCATCTTCCTACACAACTGAACACAGCCCCCTGTTTTAGTTTGTAGTTTTAGGTTTACCCAAGTCATAAATTTAATATTAGTCACTTGAATTATAATTATTGTAACCTGCGTGTTAGCCTTGGACATAATAAAAGATTTAAATAAACACTCTGGTGAAGAAGGAAGACCAGCGGAGCTGTACAGTGGAAAGTAATGGCCGGTCGCAAGTCGGCAAGCCAGAGTGGAAAGGCTGCCGCCATCTATGAGCGACGGCGACAACCAGATACGTGGCTTAGTTAGTTAGTCAGTTAGTCAGATGGACCAAAACCCTTTTGAAACAGGACGGGCGCTCCTAGAAGGAGTGCCTCTGGTACCATAAATAAAATAAAAATAGTCACTTCTGATGTGCACTGTTGAGGTTGTTCAGGCGTTCCGCTCTAGGCAGGAGTTTCGCAGTGCGACAAAGTCGCTCCCACGCCACCAGACGGCGTTTTGTTGCGTCCGTCGAATAGATGGACCAAAAGCCTTTTGAAACAGGGCGGGCGCTTCTAGAAGGAGTGCCTCTGGTACCATAAATAAAATAAAAATAGTCACTTCTGATGTGCACTGTTGAGGTTGTTCAGGCGTTCCGCCCTAGGCAGGAGTTTCGCGGTGCGACAAAGTCGCTCCCACGCCACCAGACGGCGTTTTGTTGCGTCCGTCGAATGCGTGCGGTTTTTACGGTCACCGTCGTCACCGCTGCCCTCCTCGGCCTCTTCTCCGTAGCCAAGGGCCTTTTCTACACCGCACTGCAACGCGTTTTGCCCTTTCTGGTCGATGCCACTGCATTGTCCCAAGATGTGTTCGACAGTCCCCTCGTCGCCGCCACAGAGCCCACAGTTTGGGTCCTCTCCATAGAGCTCAAATCTGCGTCTCTGGGTCAGTAGGGAGCCCGTTCGAGCCTGGAACAGCAGCGCGCTGGCTCGGTCTCCCCGGTAGTGTGGATAGGGTGCTGGTTCCTTCTTGTGTTTCCTGTACAGTTGGAGGCTCTGTTTCTTCTGCATTGTCCTTCTCCAGTCCTCTATTCCGGCCCGTGTCACCTCTGTCCGTATTGTCCTCGCCCACTCCCGTTCCGTCGTCGCCAGATGCCTTGTTGTGCCCCCACCGTACTTAGAATCTATGGTCTTTATTCTCTTCATCCAGCCTGTCTTGGACCCCTGATATCGGATGTGGTAGTACATCCTTCCTCTTTTCACTCAAAGCAACCGACGGCTGGCTAACGAGCGATCGCTGCGTTAGCCAGCCGTCGGTTGCTTTGAGCGAAAAAGAAGTTGCCTTCTTGCGATCATTTGACTGCGGGTGATCTGTTTCCCCCTGGTGACGTTGTCCCCTGTAAAAAATAGTGCTTCATCTTTCTCTTCTTCACTTAATATACTAGAGTTGTGAGTGCGCGCCTGTCTGTGTTCTGTGTTCCTTCCTCGTTTGTCCTCGTCTCTTTGTGCGCGATTTTAACCATGTTTAAGGGCAACAGAAATGCAGCTGTAATGAAAAATAGAGCACTTTGGAATTACAACAGGTATGAGGTGGTGAGAGAGATTTGGAAAGGGGTCATGGTGCCTGGGCTTGACTTTTGGAAACGCAGTGCTATGCATGGAATCCGAAGTGCTTGCAGCACTAGAAATAAAACAGCGCGGAGTAGGTAGGCTGGCTTTGGGGGCACATTGCAGAACGCCAAACCAGAGGGTACAAGGAGACATGGGATGGGCGTCATTTAAGAGCAGAGAAGCTGTGAGCAAGATAGAATTGGAGGATCGGTCGAGGCAAATGGATGGGGAGCAATGGGCACGAAAGGTTTTCAGCTATTTATACATGAGGAGTGTAGACACAAAGTGGAGACAGCGCACTAGGAAATTAAGAGGAAAGTTTTTGGGCTATAGCGAAGATACGGAAGAGCAAGTCTCAGTTAAGAAGAAAGTTAAGGCCACAGAAAGAGATCGGTGGCTAGAGGGAATGCAGACAAAGACGGCTCTGGAAAGGTATAGATTAAACAAAACAGTCATTGCCAAAGAATGCATTTATGACAATTCTAGGAGAAGCTCATTGTTGTTTGAGGCGAGGCTCCCTATGTCGAACGGGAGTGCGCAGCTAGGGTTGAGGAGGTCAAGCAGGAGCTTAAAGTAGAGCGAGAGAAACGGGTGGTCCTGAAGAATCAGGTCGAAGTGTTAGCTAAAGGGGAGCAACTCACGGTAGAGTTTCAGGAGCTCATCAGTGAATGGGAAAGAAATTGGAGCGCATGGCAGACGAGGGAGCGGGAGAAGCGGGTGGCGCTTGATTTGGAGAGACAGGTGGAGGAGCTCAAGAAGAGGGAAACATTGAAGGCTGGGTCAGGCGAATGTAAAGGGGAGTGCGGGGACAGGGTGGAGAGCATGGGAAGCGATCTATACTCTTGTATGTTTATGTCAAAGACCGGCATTAAATAGAGAAGAAAAACGGATCGGTGGACGAGTGGGCTAGGGCACACCAGCTAGGAGCACGTGGAGCGAAAGCTCGCGCTGCGGCACCCAGGGATACCCCTGGCCGTTTCAATCTGGATGAGCATCGTACCGGCGTGCGGTCGTGTATTCCTACTGCGTGGTGCACGTTAAAGACCCTGAACTAGCAGTCGGACTGCACTATCTAAATTGCTCATCGACAGTAGGTGACAATATCACCATGTTCTGACAGACTAAACTCCTGCTCTAAAACCGACTAGCGACTAATTTGTTTTGTTCTATGTGAAAAGGAAATGTTTTCTTAGAACATTTCCCGCATGACGAGACTTTGTAAACCTACAGTCGGTCACTGTATCAAAATACCGGTTATTCTTTATTGGACGTATACGGCACAGAATAAACGTTCCCCCAAAAAAGAAAACTTCGCTTTTTTTGCAAAATATGTATGCCGCGAGACAAATTTCGAGGTAGGACAGATTCGGAAACTCCTATTTCGTGGTCGACGTCTTAAAATCGACAGACCACCCAGGAAGTGTTTTCTTTTATTATTTAATTCCTTTTTCGGTTTCTGAGCGAAAGTCTGCGTAGGCCGTTATGAAGACGCATCGCTGAAGTATTCCGCTAATGTGCACAACATTTGGTGTAAGACGGCGCCTGTGTGGTGTCCAGGTGCGCTGTCGATGCCTCAGTGGCCCGGCCCGTGTGGCGCTAGCTCCTGCGGCCCCTCGTCGAGCAAGTCCCATCGCCAGGCAAAGGACGATCCCGGGGGCGAGTCACACGACCAGAACTTCCTCACCACCTGCGTGGGGAGCCTCTCGGAACTGGGTGAGTGCCGGAATGAGAACGGAAGGGCGTGCACACGCTCCTTCTATCGTGCTGCGCGTTCGCGCTCGAGGCTCGCGAGACTCTGAAGCATCATCGAAGGTGGCAAGCTCGCGCTAGAGGAATGCCTGCCATTCTAATCGTGTCATTGACAAATTGGGTTCCCATATTTCATTTCATATCATTTATTTTAGCTCAAAGGCGTTTTCGAGGACGTATTACCTCAAAGGCGATGCGTGCATTCGTAACAACACAATCCCACAATTTTCCAATCACAGTCGATATACTATAACAAAGTAACAAAATAAGCGCAATCAGCGCCAACACAGTTCACCAAAGAGAAGTGACATCGCACGTGCTCAAAGCACTTAATTTTCAACTGCAAGTAACTATATCTACAAAACAATAATTGCAATACGGGGAAACAGGAAGTAACTATGAAAACAAGACGTAAGCACGTGCTGTACTATTCTTACCATAGGCGCTGGCACATTGCTTTAATTTCTACGGGATTTGTGGTAGTAACCATCTCGCCTGGCAAGTTATTCCATTCTGTAATCAATAATATTAAGGGTGGAAACAGAAAGGAATTTGTGTGTGACTGGTATTACTGTACCTTGCAGGAATTGCCGGTTCGAGAAGAAATATAATGTGCGGAATGACAATATGTGTTTTTAAAGCACTAGTTACTGTAGTATAAGTAAAGCCCCTTCATAAAGGTGTTTTCACAAGTACCGCCAACCATTGTTGTGGAAATGCGCAAGACACGTGCCACGAGCGGGTGCTCCGCCGCCATTCGCTTCCAAGGGCCGCACATTTCAGTGCTGCGCCGCCATTTGCTTCCAAGGGCCGCTCGAGACCTGAGCCACGTGCTCTCGCGCATTTGGCGCTACTTGCAAAGACAAACGAAAGCATATCGAGGGGCTTTAAGTATAAGTCATGAAAGAGACATATTCGGTTAATTTTGCTCCGCGCCAACGATGAAGTGAGACCAAAGTTTGCTTTTAAAGCTGGGACACTAGTTCGAGGCTAAAAGTCGTTTGACAGGAACCGGGCTGCTTTACTTTAGACATATTCTAATTTAGAAGAAAGATAATTTTGATGTGGGATGCCATATGATACTTGCATATTCTAGTTTTGAGAGAATAACTGTTTTATATGCTAGCAATTTTGTTGGAGTGGGGGCCAAGTGTTGGGTGCGCCTTAGAATGAATAGCTTTTGCTGAAAAAAATAAATGAATAGCTTTTGCTGACAAAAAAAAATAAGTCATGCATGAAAATTGTTTTTGCGTTGCTTTACGATTTTCTAAGTGCCGTTGGGTGGCCCGGTCGCGTAGAGTGTCCAACTCTTTTTTTCTTCCACGGGAACATTTTAGTTGGCGGAGAAGTGGCCCCAAGCGCCAAAACTGTCCAAACGTACTGCGGAAAAAGCGAGCTTGCGGAGTACCGAACTTTGGGTGGAACAGATTTTTCGCTTAGCATTCGCGAAGTGTCGAAGTGTAAATCCTGACCAGCTCGAATCTTCTTCGTTGTGTCTTCCATCTGGGTATAATGCCAGCGAGTTTTGAAAGCGTCCGTCGGAAAGCGAGCAGACGGCGTGGGCGACGACGGGTGCGTACGGTCCCGAAAAGGGCGCTTGCAGTCAAAGGGCAGCGAACCTCTCTCCTTTACTGTGTTCACAAGTGGACAGGATGTGACATGTCCTTCGAAGGAAACATTTCTCTTAGTGTGTAATTACCCTAAAGTAGCGAGTAAGCGCCCAGCTAAAATTAGTAGATAACCGTGAGATGGGGCGCGGTTCAAGAGTAGAGGCCACGTGACAAGGTAGGCTTTACCGCACCTGATTGCTCGGAGAAGCGGCTGACGAGGAGGACCGGTTAGCGAGACGGGGTGGCTGGGCGCTTGATGTGTCCCTTGCCGCGAAGCGCTTCAAAAGTAGCGGGTGGCCACGTATCCTGACATGGACTCGGCTCTTGGGCCTTATGATGAGCGTGGTCTTCCACGTACATCCTCATTCTGACTTGTGCCCCGTTTCTGCAGGGGAGCTCCTGAGCGGCATGGTGCAGCTGTACAGGCGCAAGACAGGCGCGCCCAGGGCGCCGCTCACCTGGTGCTCAGGGGCGCTCCACGCGCTCTTCCACTACATGCGCTGTTCACAGCTGGAGCACTCGGAGCACGGATCGTCCCGCAGGGCCATGGGGCCGGAGCTCATCTACGAGAGGTCGGCTGGAGTCCTAGCACGCATTTTCTCTGCGAAGCCGTGGAAAAAAAAAAAGAGTCGTTTTCACGCTTCAATGTTCTGCGAACAAATTGTCGATAAACAGGCCGTGAAGATCCATCAAGTGGCCGGAAGAGCCCTTAGACGGCGTGCTGTCTAACACGCGTATTTGTAACGTCCAAGGAAAAGAGATGATCTCGAAAGAATAGCCATTTGACCCGCGGGGGCGAGAGGGATTAAAAAGCAGGAGGTCGTCTTGCTTTCGGTGTGCGAGCCAACCTAAGACAAAAATCCTCTCCTTGATCCGTTCCTGCCTGTGCCATAGACCAGATCGACCGCGAGTGTCACGTTGGTCTAGATTTGGAATTATGTTTGTTCAGTCAATTTCTAAGTTGACAAAGCACAGCTGCTGTTGTCGTCAAAGTTCGTGTAGTCTACTCCATTTCTAGGGCTGGACCACCTTTGGAAATTTTATTCTAAGGTTCGAGGCATGGTTGCACGTTGAGTTTTGTCGAACGTATTGCATTTGCTGCGTCATTAGGAACTCCAGTGCAGTGCCCAGTGTCTAGGAGGAAACCTTGCGCACTCATTCATTCCAAGTGTTTTCTCGCCACAGGCCCTACCAGGTGCTGCCCCCTCTGGTAGAATGGGTCCGCGTGGCACACGCGCATGCGGAACACCGGCGCTCGCCCATCGTGGACCAAGACGACGTGATGCAGGCTGCCAGGTTACTCTTGCCAGGCGTCGACTGCCCCGTGCGAGCCTTCGGGTAGGTTCTGCGCTTCTTTCCAGCCTTGGGCCAGGAAGAAACGGGATATCAAGAAGGAGGACGAGATTTCATTTGAGTTTGTGTGTGAATTGACGCGATAAATCATCATTCGCATCACCAAAACAGAATCACTATTTATTGGTACTGATTCCGCATATACAACTCTACTATACGTAACATTACGGAAAGAACTCGCACGAACAGGCAAACAGTTAGAGGACCACGGAAGAAAGCGCACCTATGGGATAGGTAGTTCTCTTTCCTTGCTTAGGCCTTCAGGTTTCTGGGCATGAATGTAACGCGAAAGTGAGCAATACCACGATTGCAGTGTCTCCATTTGTGTGAATATAGTTAAAATAAATCCTGGACAGTTCAGTCAGGTTCGCAATGCTCAATACTTTTACTTAGTGCTGGGCGTCGATTAAACTGCTTAAACCGAAAAATCGCCACCTTTTAACCCATTAATCGGACTCGTTTATTTACATGCGTAGTACTTTTTCTAAAACGGAGCTGTTAAGGGCTAGTTTCCCCAGTTTCGTAACCGTGGACACGTAAATCTCCACACAACCCTCTGGACAGCTACCGCCATCTATGAGCGAGGGCGGCAACCAGATAATCGGCTTGCCGGTTGTCTGTCTGCCGCCGTCGCTCATAGATGGCGGCGCACACTAGAGCTACGCTGCTCTTCCTTCTTCACCAGAGTAAAAGAGCTACATTTTTAATTTTTTTCTTTTTTTTTTTTTTTTGCTGAGTGTGTTATTAACGGCGCAACATAAAATCTTGATTATGAATAAGCCTCGAAGGTTAGTGGAGAAGAGTTTAAAGGCACAATCACACTCACAGCTTATTACTTCAGCTGCATGAGGCAGGTTCGTTGACACTCTCCGGCAAGAGCGACCTCTGCTGATCCAAACGGGCACTCGCACCTTCTGCGCTTGTCTGCGGTTGCGAATCTCGCCCCTACGGTTCACTTTGGGTTCAGGCTTTACCTAAAGTTTGCCCTTGCTGCAGGTGTCCACGTCTGCGAGGTGCAACCGTTTATTTTTACTTTCTTTTGGTTCGCAAATGTTTACTGATTAATCGGTTAAAAGAATTAATCGCGAATAAAGAAGTAATCGATTAATTGGCAGGTTAAGCGATCAGTTTCCCAGCCCTACTTACTACCGATTCTTCGAAATATTGTTGAGCCGTACAGATGTTTTAGGGAATGTGAAATATTTGTTGAAAGATACATCCTAAAAACCAAAGGCTTCGGAAGTGTTTGGGAGATTGAGGGGGGGGGGGGGGGGAGCGGGGGGAGGAGGGGGGAAGAGGGGGGAATAGAGTTAGCAATAGCAGGGCTTGGAAAAAAAAAATTTTTTAAACAACTTTTTCCCGTTTTGCTGGCGAACCTGCGCTCCGCATAGGCTGCTAAGACCGGTAATCTTGAAGGTGTCGAATGCACGTTGCAAAAGAACTATGGAAGCTCGCCGTGAGCACGCTCTCAGCAGTGGCACACATAGCTACGGATGCCAGTGAATATTCCCTTTACCCTAATAAACTTTTTAGTCCATAAATAGAAAAAGAAACGGTGCAGTGACGGAGAAAAGGAGACAATTCCTCCCATTTTCATTGTAGAGAAATATTTGAAGCGCTCATTATCTCCGGTTCGGCAGACCGCTGCGTCAGCCAGCCCTTTATTAGCTTAACTGACGAGGACATTTCTTTTTTAAAGAGTTGCGAATATGGTTGAAGTTGTTACTGCACCCCTCGTGCTGGTGATTTTTCTCCCGGGCTTTCGTGTCTTACTTCATCCTCTTAAGACTGGTGAATGCGTTTGATCAGAGCCGTGCGTTTGATTAAAACGTTCGATGTCCCTGCTGCGCCAGTATTCTTTTCCTCGTGCATGCCGCACACTCCTGCACCTTTCTTCTTTTCACGTACGTTACATTGGAGTTGTGAGTTAGCGCTTGTCTGTCTTCTGTGTTCCGTTCCTGTCTTTGTCCTCTGCTTTTTGTGAGCTATGTTTTGATGATGTTCAACCGGTGCCAACTCGCCCAGCTTACCACCTTACTACTACATACAAGATATTTTTTTTCGAGCGTACATTGCTCGCGAAAAAGGCCCCTTTTCATTGGTTAACAGTTTTGCCGTTCCGCCGACCGTTTTGCGCTAGCAGACGATCCGGAAGTGCAGAGGGGTGCAACGACCGCTGGAGACGCCATGTCCCCTCCGCAAAGCGCCTTTATACTTCCCGGAGCAGTCGACACGGGGAAACTGAGAGTGCCGCGGCCCACGCGGAGCTGTGCTCGCACTTATGTTAAACGTCATACTTTTCTATAATATGCCATCAAATTCATATTCATTATTTAGTTTTCTCTGTCCGGAGAATGGAGACTAAGAAAGAAAAGCGACTCTGTTGTTGCTTGACGAGCCTCCGCCTTCCCGCAGCAGCATAGAGGAGAGCTAATCGATGGACCCAGACTTTCAAGATTCACAAATTCCACGGGACACTCCCTCGCAAACAAAGAATGAACATTCTGCCGGGATTCTCTCAACACTTCAATACTCAGTCTAACGATTCAAAGAAACGTGGCACAGTGCATTTCAAAATCTGATTACGGTAGTTCGTTCTAGAGTGCGGCACTACCCCCGGCTACACAGTGACCTAAAGAATGTTGAGGGAGTTTGCCTACCTACATCCTTAATGGACGACCCTAAATTCATCATAAGTGACGAACAGTGACTGCAAGTTAACCGTTACAGTAAACTAGGGTGCCTACACGTTTCCGCTCGGAGCGGCGGAAACATGTAGGCACCCTATAGTAACCCAACCCAATGCAGTGTTTAGTACGACAAAGAGTGTATTGTCATTGCCGGACGCGTACTCGAAATCTGCTAAATTGAGGAAAGCTCCGACATATCTTTAAAAATAACATAAGGTAATAGCACTACCACAAAAACTAGCGAGGAAACTCGTGCCGTGGCATGATGCATGTCAGTATATTTCGAAAGATTGCCGGACTACTCTTATTAAGATGAATTCTAAAATGTTTCCATAATTTCAGGGAAAAACTTGTTATTCTTGTTTGCTTTTTTAGCCTGTAGAATTTCCAGAAATTGATTCCTTCCCTAGCCATAAGGTTCATTAAGGGGGAAGGGGGGCGGGGAGGGCGGTAGTGGGAAACGGGGATTTTCGCCCTTCCCCTGAACGTTTACATAAAAGTATCTAAAATGTCCGGGGGGGGGGGGGGGGGAGGGGGGAGGACATCACTGTAGAGAAAATAGGTCAAACACAGATTTATCGAATCCAAAGTGGTGCGTAAAACAGTTCGATATATCGATAATTCGATAGCAAAACTATGTTATCTGAAGCTTCAGCTGAAATTTCGCGATTCTCCGCCGGTGCCGGAGATTGTGCCGTATTTCTGAGTTCGGGCTAACATGAAAAAGACAGAATAAATAAAGGTCCCCTTTGTCCGCTCCCGCCTCGAGGACACTGCAGACTTAAAGCCAGGCAAAAATAAGCGAATTTGATCCTTGGGATCATAAGGGAATTTCATCAAAAAGCCAATGGGTAAAGGCAAGAAAATACTGGGTCTCGCCAAAAGAACGACCAAGGAGGAAATCGACCGGGAGAAAGGACCCCTCCGAGCCCGACACCAGCCCAACCCTGCAAAGGCGAACAGAAGGGCGACACTTGTGGGTCGACGATGGTCGAGGGCAACGCGTGAGCCGAACAACCACCGCGGTAGTGATATTCGCTTTTCCCCTCCTCTCAAGGAAGAACCTCGTGACAAGCGGGAGGTTACCAAATGGAACATCCAAAAACCGCTACATACAGTAGAATCTTGTTAATGCGTATAGTTGGTGGGAACCGCGGGCGCCATCGCTAGCGCGCGCACCTCGCGAGCGATGAAAAGGGGCGCCGCGCGGCAGTTTCCATAGCAACTTGCGCAGGTGCTGTGGCGTGACTGCATGGCACAAAGCAGAGCGCCAGTATCATAGCAACCGGGGCTGGCGTCCCTACGTCACTTCCGCGCGGCTTCGCGGCGTTCGGATCTGGGGCCCTAGTCTAGACCAGTGGTCTCAAACTCATTTGAGCGTGGGGGCCAGATAGCACGCAATGGGAAGGCCGAGGGCCAACGTTAGACAAGGGGGGTCAAATGATTTGAAAGAGAAGGGACCTCGTGCTCTATGCTTTCTGTAAACTCAGTTTCGCCAGTGACGTTTTTAGATATTCTTTGTTTACATGACTACTTTGGACCCTGTCTTGATGCGATGACAATAATTAAAATGACATTGCCCCGCCAACGTGCTTGCATTTTTAAGAGAACAAAAGAGCAAGTACACTTTCGTTCCCGTTGCTCAGTTTACTCAAGAAATAACCAAGCTCAACGTGTCTTCAAAGAACGATTAGATAATTTGGCAGTTCTTGCTTTCCTGGCGATTTCTATTACAACACCCATACTTGTTTTTTTTAATGCTGATATTTTTTAAGGCGAGAATCCCGAGCTGGTGGCTTTATTTTCGGCAGTTGCTCCGGCTGATCGAGAGTTCGCGCAGCCGAGATGCATCCTTCAGCAAAGCTCGCGCTTGCAGCCTAGTAGCGGAATTGTTGTACATTGCAAAAAGCTGCAAAGCAATAATGTGAATACGTTAAGAGAGCGGAGCTACTTTTTGAGCCAGTATAATCGGCGAGATGAGATCACGATGGCGCATGCCATTTCTAGCGCTCGAGACATGGGAACCGGGACTCGTGGCCTGTTACATGCGGGCCGCGTGTTTGAGACCCCTGATCTAGACACTTGGCGAAAAGGTCGGCGACAAATCCGGCGGCTCTAATTGGCCGGCGCCAAGGTCAAGTGCGGAGTTTGCCAATCACGGCCGATTGGCAGATTGGGAACTCTGGTCGATACAGATAAAGCCGCGCGGTGCACCCAGCGGCGAGCGGCAAGTGCAACAGGGGACAGATGAGCGATGAAAACGGGCGCCGCGCGGCAGTATCATAGCAACCGGTGCTGGTCGGTACTGACAAAGTCGCGCGGTCCGCCTGTGGCGCGCCTAGCGGCGAACGGCGCGCGGCACCAACTTTTGTCCGCTTATGTGTTTCGGCTTTAAACCGAATGTAGACGATTTAGCGAGCGATGAGACGAGCGACAGCGACGAGAGTCAGCGACGAGCGACGGAGATATCTCACTGCCACCCGTCGCACGTCGCTCGGTTTTTGGATTTGTAGAAAACGTCGCTCACCGCCTTGGTCGCCCGCTCCCGTCGCTTTTATGCGGTCTGCCTCATTGCGCGACTGACCGAGCGACAGCGAAGCGGGTCGCCATCGCTTGTCTCGTCGCTCGCCAAATCGTTTAGATGCGGTCGATACTTGACGCGCACGCGTGGTCACGAGCACGACAGCACGAGCGACGCAACACAAAAAGAAAAAGTAAGAAAAACAAAAACTGAAAGAGCGGGACGCGTAAAAAAGAACTCTTCATCCGTAGATAAGAGTCAAGCCACCAACAAAAAAGAACGGACCTAATCTCGGAGCAAGAAAAGAACAAAAAAGGCAAAACAAGACCGGCGGAAGGGAAAGGAAAATAAAGATAAAGAAGACGTTCAGAACGTGATTGCAGACGCTTTGTTGACACACTCGAATAGCCAAATAGTTTTCTTATTTTTTGCTTTTGTATTTGGGGGGAGTTGAGGCGGAGCGTTGTTTTTCTCTTTTTTCGCGCCTTTCGCTGGCAACGGAAATAAACAGCGCGCAAAAAATACACAAGGACGAAAGGAAGGTGCGAACGACACAAGCGCTGAACTCACAACTAAACATTTATTGAAAAAACACCAACGAAGTAAACCGCACTATCGCTTCAGCACGTGTCAAGATAAGCAATTTCTTTTTTGTGAAGAAAAAACGATGTTTGGCTGACGCATGCCTCGCTGGCCATGGCCAGAGTCGTTTACTCTCGCAGAGCGTCCAAACCGCGCAGCGACCAGTGTTCGGGCAACACCTCACCGCCAGGGGCGCGGTACGCGGTTCGATATATCGAATGCCCTTGGTGGCGTAGTTCGATACAGACGCACAATGTGCCTTTTACGCGAGATTTTCGAGGGTATGTTTTGGCAGTTCGAAATAGACGATATTTCGACATATACGGATCCGATATAATCAGGCTCGCTTCGAAATACTCGGGTTCGATATATATAGGCTCGACTGTATTAGATTTTTCTCATTTTCTTAAATTGGAGAGGATTGGCTGCTTCCTCGGAAGAACCGATTGCCTCAAAGCATTTCCGATAGGTCTTTTTAAATTGGAGGCACCTGGCCAATGCACCGTCTATGCTCCGTTGAGCCCCGAACTGCAATGGAAGCTTGTTGGGACCAGTGGAACCCGTATATTTTGCCACGCGATCACACTCCCCACGCGGAGGGTCACTGGATAGAAGGATGGCGTAGACCGTCGCGGTGAACGAAGTCTAGGTGAGCAATGCGAGACGTTTGGGACTGGGCGCAGGCACCAGCAGGAGGAGCGCCTGCTGGGCAAGCGCCTGGAGGAGGCCGACTGGGCGCGGCTGGTGCAGACGGAGCTGGCGTTGCGGCTGCTGTCCCTGTGCGGCCAGGGTGGCCAGCTGCTGGCCCAGGCCCTGCCCCTGCTGCCAGCCAGCAGCCGGCTGGACACCCGGGACGAGCGGGGGCTCACGCCCCTCATGCTCGCCTGCGCCCGCGGGGACGAGCCGGCCGCCCGCCTGCTCGTCCAGGCCGGCGCTGACGTGCACGCTGAGGCGAGTCCGGCCTCTGCTCGCTAAGACCGGTCCGTTTAACCTGCTCATACCTGGTACGAAAAGGTATCTACGGACATGCCCCGACTCGAAGACATGCTTCGAACATGTCTGCGGACAGTTTTTCTAGGACCAATGTGGACCGTCGGTCTGCGGACTGTCGTGTTGTATGGATATTTGAGGGTGCTTCCAACCGCTACTTTATTCGTACGTACTTTATTTAACCTTTGTTAAGATCATGATGATAATGCAATGGTGCAAGCGAGCTGGACAGGAATAACGATAATAGACCATTCTCCAGGGATCGCTTTTTTAAGGTCATTTTTAGGCCGTTTTGTTACGGTCGCACCGAGATGTGAACGAAGTAAATGAATTTGGGTCACCTGGCTTTTCTAGGAGTTTCAAACTGGAGGGGGGGGTTTAACAGGTTTCTGGGCTCTGGGGTTGTGTGCACCGTAGGTCTGCATACTTTATGTAGGAAATTCTGGAAAAAGGGGGAGGGGGGGAGGGGGAGAGGAGTATCATCCCTGACGAGGGCCTGCGTGCGCACGGGCAACTAATCTGTGCGAGAAATGTCCGCCATTAAATTGCGCCTGCTCTCCGTGCTTTAGGTTGCTCCTTTTCTTCAATCTCCACTGCGTTTAGCATCCCTGAAGTGGTCAAGAAGTACGCGTACGTCGCAGGATGTGTGTCTGGTCACTATCCTGGCGATCAGTGGCGTAGCCAGGATTTTATTTCGGGAGGGGTTCAACGGCATCTCCTCCCCCCCCCCTCCCTCCCTCCCTCCCCCCCCCCCCCTTCCCCCCGTCAATGACGGAGGGTGAGCTTGCCGACATGGACGCTCAGGCAAAGATTAGGGAGACGCTGTTGAAATAAAACGGGTAACGCTGCATTGTCATTTTTAAAAACGGAGCAGGCTTCATTTACAGGAATACGGGCGGGGGGCTCACTGTTCTACTGTCGTCGTAATTGCGGCCCACCAACTTTAAACGCTTTCTCACAACACAAAACTCCCTTCGCTTTTCCAAGTAGCACCGCAATACCAACGCGTGAAGGTTAGAGAAAACACCAAAAATAGGTATACTTTCACACACACACAAAAACAAATTAAACAGCAAAAAAAAAAAAACTTTTTTCGACACTGAAAATTTGAAGTAACCGGCCACGCACAAACACCAGGGGCCCATATTTAGGGCGAAGGTAATTCTGAACAATCACAATACCAAGATCTATTATCTATTAAAGGTTTAACAAATTCGTGCTACAGAACCAGATGCCGAAGGAAAGAGTGTTCCCTTCGCTAGGCCGTTTTATCTTGCAGCATGGTCCAAAGGCAGCAGCAGCATATCCTCAGGGTGAGGAGAAGTCATCAGTCCGAACTCGTCGTTCCGTCACTCGGAGAAATGACATGACGCTCCACAAAGAAAATACACGCCAAACGTAGAAAGGAATTTGACTAGCCTTGCGCTGCGCCTATGCGTAGTGAAAATATGAAGGTTTGTCTCTTCGGAGTTTCTGATGTTCCGTGCTACGAAGAGATTAAGCTAATAGCAATAAGGAATTGCATTGCATGCCACCTTGACATACAAAGCAGAAAGCAAGACGGACTTCACTTCTCATCCGGGAGCGACGATTTTCGCAAAGTGAGGGAAACTTCACCAAAAATAGGGAAATTTTAGGCGTCCAATGCAAGAGGGAGAAACGTGAAGCGCCCATCACATCTGCGGTATACAGGTGGTCGCCCTCTGTCTGGAGGCACTATTTCAGAACGTCCATCGCCTCCTCAAGATTCTAGTTGCTCTGCCCTTAAGAACGGCGGAAGCTGAGCGCTCGTTGTCTTAACTAAGACGGTTGAAAACATACCTGAGAGCGTCCACTTCGAGTGAGCGACTGCTCGGTCTGTGCTTCGTTTCAGCTTAATTCCAGACGTAGCCGATGCTACAGGCGCGAGCATGTGGCCCTGACCGGTGCTTGCACTGCACGAGCGCGCGTGCTTGGCAGGGACGCTGAAAGCCCGGAGCTCGCGCTTGTAGCATCGGCTGCGTCTGGACCTGAGCTGAAACGAAGTAGAGCGTTTTTGAATGTTCACCGCGACATTAAAGTTCAAGCGGAGGACGTAGGGGATATTTTTTTCCGCGACCGCAGGCGGCTTCATTGTAATGTGTAGGCGCTTGGCAAAAATGAGATGATAAAGAGAACCTGTAAATTTCATTCTAATATCACTAGTCATGGTTACCTATTTATTCGTGCTAATTTCTAGTCGAAAGCACGTAATTCTGATCACAAAAGGTGTACGTGAGTGCAGCGCCACCCGTTGCTTACAGTGCGATTGTTTTTTTTTTTATATTCATTTATTTTTCCTTACATTACTGACATTGGTTTCATATTATCACCGCGTGTTCATTTTATTATGTTCACATTGGTTTGATTGAACTGTGTATTACAGTGAGGAGAGTTTGTCATGTTTTGCGCTGAAATTGCCATCCTTCACCCCACAAATGTTTCGAAATATCCGTTCTCTATATATCTGAGATCAAGTTCCGCATCCCGTCGAATTAACATGAATTAAGCAATATTGCATATTTTATTAATATGAGCATTTTCTACCCCACAAACAATTTTTCCGAAAGCCTGTAAGTTGGAGATGGCCCGTGCTCCCCCGTTGCTCCGTGCCTCGTACAAAACCGACTGCGTGAGGAGGGCAGCGAGCGGGCCCCGCTGGGGAGGAGGGAAGGGGGGGGGGGGGGGTAGCTTTGGCATTTCGGGAGGGGTTTCGACCCCCCAAACCCCCCCCTCTGCCTACGCCACTGCTGGCGATTGGCCGTCGACAAAAAGGGAGACACATCACTCGTGTCGGTGTCCCGTGGCTTCGACCATTTGCTCGGTCTCCACCGCTGTTCCACTGCCTGTACCACGGCGGCATTACGTAGTAGTGACGTCACCAGCAAGGGGAACAAAAGAAACCAGGCAAAAGATCCACGTGTCATTTTTTTTAGGGTCCCTAACCTGATCTTAAAATTTTGATTTTCCTGTAAGTGCGACGCTTTAAAAAAAACCACGAAGCGGTCTTCTGGCGGATAAACCTTTTACGCCCACGAAAAGTGATGGTTAAGTGTAGGTTTTGGTCTACGCATCTCTTTAACCTTCAACAATATTCAGAATCAGACTCTTTTTTTCCTTTTTCTGAATTTTTATTCTTAGGCCGGACACAGCATTTGCGTCTGCTGCTCCTCCAAATACCAAGTTGCATGTTAATGATGTTTATCTCACTCTCTGACAGCTTCCTGGGCGTTTGCTTTCCCTTACAGGCGCCCCTCTGCAGCGCACAGTGCCCACTGGCAGTACCCGAAACTCAAAGCTGGACTGCACTCACTTTCGCAACAACTCAGGGCATAATATCAACAGTGCGGGTACGTTCATTATGGGAGACGTCGCATTTGGAGTAAGCTATAGTTTAAGCTCTAACGAGCAAGCATACCGGCTACCTCAACTTTTATGCCAGTTTAACAACTCAGGCTATCAATGAGCTGTGAAAGTTGATGCTCGAGTATATTTTTTCGGTTACTTTACTATGTAATGGGAAAATGTCTCGCAGATTTCGGGAGCAGACGGGGCTAAGGCTGTGTGCAAGTGCTGGTTGAAAAAAAGGCGTATTTCTTTGTTCAAACTGAACTTGAGATCTTCAAATGCAGTTTTGGGAAGTATTGTTGTGGACAGAAAGGAATGTGCCTAAGTTTTCAGTACTGGACTTTGACTGGTTCGAAAATAGGTATCAAGTTGTCTGCAATGAACATAACCCCTGCTGCATTTGTATTGTAAGTGCATGTCTGCTTTTGGTTTCCAGCTCCTTCTCGAGAAGGGTGCGAATGTTGAAGGAAGTGCTGCTCCAAACGAAGAAAAGATCACAGAAACCCCACTGCAGCTTGCTGTGGCTTTCAGTGAGTATTAAACGCGCATTGATTTGCTTTATGTCCACTACTGTCACGCAAGGGTGTTTATTTCTCAAAGCTTTATGATGAACACAATATTTTCTCTCGCCAGTGACACTGAAAAAGATACCCGTATGTGTAGCGTGTTTTGCTACTGTTGGGTACATACATCTTCCCGCATGAAACGTCTGCTGCTTATTGGTGGATCCTTGAGTTATCGGAACATAAAAAATACATCGTGCCCCCCCCCCCCCCCCCCCACCAAAAAAATAAATATATATATATATAAAAGAAATTAAAACTTTTATCGGTAAATATAAACTATGCATTGCCGAACGCTCATTGTCCGTCCAAATGAAGCGCCTGTGGTCCGAACCTGGTGCCAATGTTTTAGGACTAGCCGTTATCTTAATCAAAAGTTATAACTCATTTTCTGAAAATTTCCATGGGAAAATGGGGCCCATTTTCGTGCGTTTTCGGTAACGCGAGGAGCTCCATGAATGTGAGAGCTCTGTCGACCGACATCTTCCCATTAAAAATTTAAGAAAATTAGTTACAACTTTTGAATGAGATCCCGGTTAGTTCTGAAACTTTAGTATCTGGTTTGGACTGCTAGTGCTACACTTGAGAATAAGCGTTCGACGATGCGTAGTTTATGTTTGCGGTGAAAAAAAAAAAAAAAAAACCTGTCCCTTTTTTTAGACATCCTGTACATACAAGGCTCGGAAAGTCGGTTACAAAGTTAAACGGAAATGAGGGCTTAGATCTAAGGTGATCATCGCATTGTCACTTTGGGAAATTGTAAATTTGCTCTGGTTGTCAATTTTTTTTCGTCGTTTTGGCCGTAATTCTTAGCCTCTAAAGCCAAAATTGTGTCCTTCAACGTGTATAAACCGGTATATTAGAAAAAGCTTTTCTAATTTGAGATCTTACATTTCGATTATCCAAAAGGGACCGGCCCACAAGGGGAAACTAACAAACCACCGCAATATCTTGAAAGCTTAGCTTTAAGAGCGTGTGGAGTGTAGCCGTCTGTTCGTATTGCCCGCAGGTCAACTAGAGCTGATGGCTTTGCTGCTGTCGTACGGCGCCAATCCGTTCTTCTCGACTCCGTTCCGCGACGCTCAGAGCTACGGCGGCGCCCAACCCCGAGGCTGCTACGGCGCGGCGGCCGTGGCCGCGGCTCACGGCCGGCGTGGGGCGCTGCGCACGCTGCTCGCCCACCGGTCGCCGCCGGACACTCGCGACGCAGACGTGCTCTCGCTGCACGAGATCCTGGCAGAGGGCGTGGCTGGCACCACCGACCGCAGGAGACCCAAGGTGCGATTGGAAGCGGCGGCTGGAAGCCGATACCGAAACTGCTGAGAAGTTGCAGACTTTTGAGTCGGATACATTGGATCCTGCATTTGAGACGTTAAAGTTGAGGCTTGGGCTAGTTGGTGACCATATCTGAGAATTAAAACAGCGCAAAGGACGGGTGACCTAATGAAGAAAGGCAGAGCACTAGTCTTGATGTCTTTGCTTGAAACCTTCGAGTTTCTGTTTAAGAAGAGGGATCACGTGGGGCGCTCTCGGTTCTGCAATAGGTTCCAAGCCCCACCGGGGAGCCGGACTCCGTGGACGGGTCGATGTGCAAGTCCAACCGGCTGAGCAAGGCGCACGTCAAGGCTCTCCAGGAGGCCATGTACCAGAGTGCCGAAAACGGGTACCTCGAGATCACGCTCGACTTGAGGAACATTGGTGAGCATTTCGACATGGTTGAAGAATCACATTAGCCGTGCCGAAGCACGGTATAGAACCCGCAGCATAAAGTAACCGAATGACCAGTTTGTGGTAAACCCATTAGGAAATGTCTCTCAAGACTAATCAATTGAAAGTATTCTGATTCACTTCTAGTACTCCCCGAAAGTTGTTGTTTCAAACAAATGTTTTTAACATGCAATCTCGCTAGACATCTGCTGCTAATGCTCAAAAGGTTTGAAGCTGTGGGCTACGTTCTTCCGGTTGTCTTCTACTCAGCCTGGTTCTACTAGGGTGCCTCAATGTCCTTCTGTCTAGGGTGATGCCACCCTTTGTAGTACCACATGGCGACAGGACGCGCTCACGGGAAAAATACAAAGAATTCAACGAAAACAAAATGTCGCCATAGCACAGTTAGCGCCACAAGCGCGTGCAGGGACACTCTATTTCACGCGCTTCTGAACAAAAAATAAAAATAAACGTGTGTGACAAAATGGCGAGATGCCACCACCCTAAGCAGAGCGAACATGAAGGCACCCTAGGTTCTACTATTTGTAGAGCCTTTTCACAAGTGCGCTCCACTTAGAATTATCCGAGTCTGCCATTCTGTTGGACACGAGGGCCACGTTGGCGTTCAGCGAGCACTCGGTTCCAATCCCCAAGAAATGGCCACCGCCTATCTTGCTCGTTGAGCTTTTGAAAATGCTTCATTGAAGGCTGAAGGCAGCAGGACAGATCTGTGTGCCTTCGTCGCTTCACACGCTCTCCCCTTCGTGCTGCAGGCGTCCCTTGGACGCTGCACTGCTGGATGCAGACGCTGACGACGGCGCACGAGCAGCAGCTGGAGAACACCATTGACGAGCTGCTGCAGGACTTTCTGCACGTCTGGCCCGAAGACTGCAGCGCCCAGTTCGTGGACGACTGTCTGCCGCTGCTCTTCTCCATCTTCAGGCACAGCAAGGTGCGCCCGTCTCAACGTTACTAAAACACTCAGTTGCGAAACTCACCCTTGAAACCCCGACCGCTCGCGTCCACCTAGACCAAACTGGATACGATCACAGCGTCGCCCTTTAGCGACCTGTCAAAACGTGAAGGTTGATTTATATAGCTACTGCGAGATGGCGCCACCGGCCCTTGCGCGGCTCGACCTGAACCAATACGTGCATCCGTGCAGTTTCCGGAGTGGCCGCTGCGGGAGAATCAGCGGCGTTGCGATCGCCTTTAGTTCGGTTCTCGAGTACGGATCGGAGCCGCCACTTCAGAGCAGGCTCCATGGCGGTTTTCCAACTGAGTTGTTCTAATAAGGTTCGCCCGTCTCCAGCAGCTTTGTTCTGCTACTCTAGTATAGACATTCTGACTCTGGTTCTCTATAGTCTCTGCAGGTTAAAGAAGCACTGAAAGGAAATATATATATATAAAAAAGCATAAATGAAACGAGCATCTTTTTTTTTTTTTCTACGAAAACAAAATTAGCGCAAAATTTTCGTTATTATACGCAATTTAGGTAAATGTATCCCCCCGCCCTTTAGTGAAATAATTGTAGCTAGTTACGCTCCTTTTCTCGACTCTCATTGGTTGGAGAGAGGACTGACATGTGGAATGTTTGCCGTAAACTTGTTTATTCTTGACGCGGTAGTGTTTTATTCGACCTATATATATATATTTTTTTTTATGTATGAGACACAAACTATTTGGATAGGGTCAATATTGTTTTAAGAAACACCAGGAGATTGTATTTTTCGCTTCGGTTTCAAACAGTAACAAACGTGGCTGCCGGCCTCTCCGCCATTGAGTTAGTCTAATATTCTAGAGCAGTGGTTCTCAAACGTGGGTCCGCGGACTTTTTGGGGTCCGCGAAGGCATTCTGGGGGTCCGCGAAGCCTCACCTCAGCAGTCAAGCCCGTAAATAAAAGTTGTCTTTTATCCGATTGTATAGAAATATTGTAATTCTCGGGTGAGTTTTCTCGTGTATATGTCAAAAACAGAAGTCTACTTCACACTAGCCCATACTTATATTCATTTATTAAATCCCTATCATAATTAACCTATACTTTTCCTTCCCCTCACCATGAATGGGGTCCTCCACCTACTACGCCGATTCACAAGGGGTCCGCGAAACATCGGTGGCTGAGAACCACTGTTTTAGAGGGAGAGGTCCTGTCCATTGGGGCCGCTTGGGAATGGCGAGTCATAGACGCGGACATCGGCGGTCCGAGTTGGCGGTCCCGATGGGCCCTTATCGCTGCCGACGCAAGACCATGCCTTGGCCTTCAAATGTTGGCCGGTAGTGTCTTCAAAATAAATAAATAGGATGCCAAACTTTCAGAACTTTGAAAACATGGTCGCGCTTATAGACATGGACAAGAGGAAGGAGCAAGAAAACACAAGGCGCTACTTTCTTCTTTATTACTCTTGTCCGCGTCTATAAACGCAACAATGTTTTCAAAGATTCAGCTCCAACTTGCCCGACATTCAGAATTTTTCAGAATTTATCGTTATTATTCGACTCAAAAAAATGGACTCGATTTTCCGAATATTTGCAGCGCAGAGATCGCAACCGATGAAGCTTGCAAGCATTTTGATATGAATATAGAATCTGCTTCCACATATGAACACCATTTGCTGATTTTCTGGGATTTTTCAGAACGAAGGTACGACGCTTCTGATGGCCGACATCTTCTCGGTTTGCTACGGGGAAGACAGCATCAAGGAGATCAGAGATGTCTCCCTCTCCGGTGGTGCGAGGATTGGTGAGTGCCGCTTCAAAGTCAGAAATCAGGCCATGTCTATCGGTTTTCAAAGTACAAGTCCGAGATAAAGTAGCCCTGTGCTTTGCTAGTTCATTCTGTGCACAATAGGCCTACACAGTGACTACTGAAAGAGGCCAACGTAAACACAAACAAAGAGATCTTTAACATAAATGAGAGAATGGGCTTCCAAAGAGTTGTGAATATCTCGCAATTTTAAGTAGCCATTGATATGACCTTTCGATTTAGCATATGTGCGGTTCTTCCGAAAGCATGAGCAACTGTTCTTTCCAGCTGATCAATAGAGGTGTGTGCATGTTGACGTAAATGTTTCTGTCTTCCTCTCACGACATGGACACGTGCCCGTCGTGTCAAGTGTCTGCGTGCCTGGTTTTTGAGATGCACTGCTGTATTTTGTATTTATGTCTTTCGCCAACAGATCCCAAGTATGTGAACAACCCGGAGATGTCCGACGTGCAGTTCCGGGTGGAGGGGCGAGTCTTCTACGCCCACAAGATCATTCTGGTGAACGCCTCGCCGCGCTTCAAGTCCATGCTTTCCAGCAAGTCTGCGGAGGGCAGCCCGCCCGTCGTACAGATCAACGACATTCGCTACGACGTCTTTCAGGTGCTGCCATACTCCTAAAAAGGCTCGGAGACTCGGACGACGTAGCTTAGTGCGGCGTTAGTAACACGATCGTATTTCTGTGCGTGCAGTTGGTGATGCAGTATTTGTACAAGGGTGGCTGCGAAGACTTTGACATTGACCAGAGCGACGTTCTCGAGGTGAGTTTTATACGCACCTTCTTCGATAGGCTGTGTCCTAAGAATGACACGGACCGCAAAACTATCAGGATTCAATGCCTGTAAAATATATTTGTAGTTTAGAGGAAAAGAAAACGACAGTGCTGGTGTTTGTTTGTTCCTTCTACCTGTCCCTGTGATTTTAGTGCATGCAGTTTTACTTTCTTTTAGAAGTCAATTGAATAGACATCGTAGAATGTTAAATACTATAGTACTTCGCATTTTAACGTATCGATATTTATGCTTGCTCGCCTTTCTACATCTACATTCACCGCAAATCTCTTGTGAACGCCTTCCCCTAAAAGATTGCCCATCACTTTTTTTTCTTCTTTTCTTTTTTTTTTTTTGCTAAATGTTTATAACACCTAAGCATGGCCGACCCCCTGATTCCCGTCGGACATTGCCCGACGGGAATCACATGAACCGCGCGATCTGTGGTGCGAGCCTTGCAGCGGGTTCCGGCGTTTTTGTCCGCGCGATATCGGGTCCCGTGAAGTCGTTCCCGCGTGTGTATTTCGTCGTAAAATGCAAATCTGCTGCGTCTGCGATCGTCGGTATCCATTCCCGCGAGACGCGAGTTCCCGGCCGGTTCCCGCGTGCCCCTCACACCACGCGAATCTGCTGCTAATTCCAGCGTTTTTATCGCATCGTGTAACGTGAGTTTGCCGAGATCTGCGGTGTCATCTCCCGTGCCACGTGGCGCACGTGCCCCATGTTTATCACTGAAGGCTCGTTCACACACTTGCAACCGAGTACGACCATCTGATACAAGACCGGTTTTTAAGCCTCTTGCGACTTGTTAGGACCTGATGCGCTGCTGCGGAGCTGGCCCTAAGACGTCGCAAGAGGCTAAAAAGCCGGTCTTGTCTCTCTCTGTCCTACTCGGTTGCAAGTGTGTGAACGGCGCTTAAATTGAATGCGATAGAATTCTTTAGCTACTTGACCCGGTTTTCGCGATGCGGGATCTGGACTCAAATGCGTCGTGCGTATGCGCGGCGGACGTATCCGGTGCACCATAGACGCACTCCTTCACATTCGCACCCACTTCGAAGGACCTGACGTCCTTGACGTCGTTCTAGGAGTCATCTTTGAGGTCGTCCTAGAGGTCGCCCTAGAGGTCGCCCTAGAGGTCGTCTTAGAGGTCGTCCTGGAGGTCGTCTTTGACGTGACGTCGTTCAGCTAGCAGATAAACCCACGACGCGCAAACACGGAACGCCAGTACGCACACATTCACATTTGTGCCCAAGCAATTATCGCTTTGAGTTGAGCTAGTTGGTACATGGCCAACAGCTTGAACATTAAACGATCGTACAGAGATAGGACAAGACACACACGAAGCTGTAACGATGGTAGTGAAACAGGTTGAACAATTTAAACGGTTACGGAGAGACAGAAGATGAAACGATTACACAGACACAAAGCAATCATTCAATTTCGAAGTGGCGCGCTGCAGTCGCGCTGACGTCAATGATTGCGTCGTAAACCATTAATAAAAGTAAGTGTTTACTGAAAATTTGCGTCGTCGTATTCACATTGAGCTCCGCCGTGAGTCTCATGACGACTGCTATCGCAATTCATAAACAACCAACAAAAGCGGTTTCTGCAACCAATGTTTTTTTTTTTATAAAGCTTTGCCTTTGCATCTCCAAGGATAGCCGATAGCCCCCCCATGTCTTTCACCATTTATATCTCGGATGGGCTTTCCTAGGGATTTTTATTTTAGATTCATATCTTTTACGTCGCATATTTCATTAGCCCACGTTGAAAAAGCCATTATTTGTCTGGTTATCATCTCAAATGCAGCCAGAGTTAAAATTACTACTCAATGCAAGATCGCGCTAGTAAAAAAGCTTATATAAATGACAGATTTCTTGGTCCAATAAACGCATAGGATCAAATAAGATCATACAAGAACCTTATAAGAACATATAAGAACAGTATAATATTATATATGCAGTTAAAAGAAACTCCTAAGAAGTTTCTTATAACTTTTTAGATAATCTTATATTGTTCTTACATGTTATCTGTTCCTGTATGCTCTTATATGATCTTATTTAATCATATGCACTTATTGGACTGAGAAATTTCTTATGCATATAAGATTTCTTACTAGGGCGCGTGGCTCCACGAACATATTTTGTCAACTGATTAGGCAGAATGGGCGACCGTGAGCCTGTAATGCCAGGCATTACGAGTGCCAAGCTGCACTAACGGCGCGCACGGTGCCTCGCAGCTTATGACAGCGGCCACTTTCTTCCAACTGGACGGGCTGGTGCGCTTCTGCGAAGCCCGCTGCTCGAAAAGCGTGGACCTGGACAACGTGGTGGCCACGTACGTGCACGCCAAGGTGTACAACGCGGTGCAGCTGCTCGAGTACTGCCAGGGGTTCCTGCTCCAGAACCTGGTGGCGCTGCTCACCTACGACGACGGGGTGCGCAAGCTGCTCTTCGGAAAGCGACTCCACAACCACGACGTGCTCAGCGGGCTCCTGCTGACGCTCCAGGCGAGGGTCAAGCAGCGAGGCGCCCACAGCAAGGCTCTGCACAAGCGCAAGTCCGCCAAGGACAAGATCCTCGCGCATTCCGCCATCGCTGCCAAGTAGTCGTCCGATCCTCGTCGTGTACTGCGACGTGGCCGCTTCTTCTAGCGGACGTTTGACGAGAATAGGGGCTCTCGGTTCCTTAACGCCGTGCGGACATTTGTAGAATTGCACTTAGCGCGAGCGCGTGGCTTTGGTAAAGGCTGCGGGTGAACCGAACGTCAATTGGGACATAGTGGACTTGAAAGGAGCGAGCCTGTTTCGCCGCGCCTTCCACAGCAGTGCACGACGCTCCGCTCCTCAACGTGCGTGATGACCGGCTGGAATCTCAGGTATTCATCGGAGATTCGGTCCAAGTTGGGAACAGTGCTTCGTCTGTGTGGACTTCCGGACTATTGCGCCGCCATCGCCGGAACGTTATCGCGCCATCCGCATCGCGTACCGTGAAACGGGCCTTACGAACGTCCCGTGTCCGTAGTGCGTCGAAGCACCGTGGGATCACGTCTCAACTGGATTCCCTGACGTCATAATTGCCAAAACTGTTGTTTACACTGGCCAGAAAACTGGAGTCAGACGTCATGGTTGCGTATGTAGCCCGCTGAATTCTCACTTTTTTCCATCTTAAGGGATGCACATTTTAATGACTTGGTGGGTGTCACTCACCCAAGAGCTAGGCTCTTCTCCTCCGAATTATCTCGATGTAGTTACTCTTGGCACGGTGCGAGAGTTTGTTACCAGTATTTGTTTATCGTCGTCGCCCGAAATTTGGTGATGAAAAGTCTGAGTGTTTTACGAAGCGCACATATGCATTTGCTTTTCATGTTTTGGCCTCTCGAAATGGCAGAGCCCTTCTCTGTAATTATGTTTTGCATCCTGACAGTACGACGGTGTTCGAACCGATATCTCAAAAGACACACTTTTGGCCTGGGGACCAAGGTTAATTGTGCCATCTGTTTGTCACCTTGGAAGGGGCATCAAGTGCTGTAGATAGATTCAGTTTGCCGTCCCTGTTAAGGGATGTTTTAACAGAAGGGTTGTTTGCTGCAGTGCAACGTGCGTCATCAAGTTGCGCACCATGTCACTGCCTATCCGCCTAAAGCCCCTCTGATGACGTGGCCACTGTATCATTCCCCTCTAGACCTAGCTTAGATGGCAAAGTTAAAAAAAAATGGGGCCACTAAAATCTTGTTGCTTCATTTTGATTTGTTAATATTTACTAAAACCTCATATCGGAGACTTTTTTTTTTTCAGGTCGCAGCTACAGTGAAAGGCACATTTGCCTTTCATTTCCACTCAACCAACAGTCTTTAAGCTGCGCTGTCATTGAAGAATTTTGAAAAAGTATTATTAAGGGATACAACAATTATTTTAGTGAGAGAAGAAATCTTTTTTTTCAACAGACTTTTTAACACATAGGGTATTTTTTAACCCTCACTTAAATGTCTTATTTTTGCTACTTTACGAGGTGCCAAATACGCACGAATTATTATTAAACATTGTTCGACATTCCTCAGATTTTACACGGCAGCTTAGGAATCAGGAAGTAATCGACCAATTCTTTAACCCTCAGCATGTTTTGCTGGTTTTTCCACGTTCAACTTTGGCTCACCGGCTTTGAGGTCATCGCCGCACAAACTACCTCAACATTTATTCCCTCCCCTTAAACTACTGTGAATCTAGGAATTGTACATATTCTGATCATATATCCCACCGAAGTAGCCGATTATATTTAATTATGTGCATGTATGTTTGTATACACATAATTGTCACATTTTGCATTGGTTTCATTTTTTTTCAGACAGGCTTAACGCACATGTCCCCGCAGTTGTCATCCTTAATTTCCGAAATTATTTAAGTAATATGCCCACCATTGCATTCATCTTTTAAGCAAGATGGTGGCCAATAAAACAAACTAATTTTAACTTGCGTGAGTCTTAGTTTGTTCTTGCTTGCCAGAAGCACATCTCTCCAAAACGCAATGCATTTTGCTTCCGCCCTAGTGATTATGACTTGTAAGTATATTTTTGCTGTATTTCATTTTTATTGTTATAACCTAACATTTCGTGAATGTGAATGATGCAATAGTGCCATTTCATGAAGGGATTTCAAGGTTATCGCTCTCTTTTGAAGTGTAAACAGCCGAAACCGAAGTCAGGTGAACTTCCAGGCTGTTGTAAATAGTTTTCATTTGTTTGCAGTTTTTTTTTTTTCTTTCTTTTTTTTTTTTTCCAGGTTGAGCGAGTAGTGTTTGGCGAGTGTGGCGTCGGAAGTGTTAAAGTCGATCAGCTAAAACGTTTACATTAAAGTTAATTTTAATGCGGTTTTATTTTTCTAAGACTTTTGTAAGTGCAGCCAAACGAAGTACTTTGGTTTCACGTAAGCCTACAAGGAGAAAGGGAAAGTTTTACAGAGTGTTTTGCAGTTCGTTTCGGAAAGGAAAAGTTGCAGCGCAGGTGAATTGCGCAACAAGCGTTTGGTAGGCTTGACACTAACTTCAGAGAGCATGCAGATTCCTTGTGATGTAAGGGGGGCGGCCGTTTAATAAAACTCGTTGTTGAGTCCATTTCTCGCTTGTGACTTAAGTATAAGAAATTAAAAACTTTTCTGTTAAATTCAAAGATGTTTGTACTCGTTTTCACCTCAAGAACCCTAGTAAAAAAAAAAAGTCCGACTGCTAGCGGAGCATTACTCATTTCCTCCTTTATGGGGAAAATTAAAAGAGCCATGAAAGATGTTTTATTTTCGCTAAATACTACGTAGAATCACTTCCTAACGTTAATAACTCAACAAACTTGCCTCAGATTTATTTTCTAGGCAATGGTAGACGCAAAACGAAATAGAGAAATAAGAGCAAATACTTTACTTGTAAAGTATTGGAATGTTCCTTCGAGGCTTACAGGGATACTGAACCAAAGAATTTAGTGGCCATAATAAGTGGCGCACGTTCTTTCCACGAGCCAGCAGCCGCCGGTGTGCGCGAGCACACTTAACCAAAATGACGTCAGAGACCTCCATTCGCGCTTAAGAGGACAGTGAAATGCATGGGCTTTGATTTGGGCCAAAGGAGAATAAAGACAGGCTTTTCATCTCTACAAGTGAAAGCTACGTGCTTGTTAGACCAATTAATCGCTTACCTTTTACACCAGTCACCACTGTGTAGATGAAGAACTTGACTTTGAAAAAATCGTAAGGGTGCAGGCGAGCTGGTGAATATTAACCATGTTGAAATAACCTGAGACTAGAATAGAGAAGAAGCATGAAATCGTAGAAGGGACAGAAAATAGACAGGACGACGTCTCAAACTCAAGCTGAGTTTGAGACGTCGTCCTGTCTATTTTCTGTCCCTTCTACGATTTCATGCTTCTTCTCTACTCCAGTATCAGGTTATTTCAACATTGTTAACTTGACTTTATTCTCCTTTGGCCCGAAGCCCATACATTTCACTGTCCTCTTAACCGCGGATGGAGGTCTGTGACGTCATTTTTGTTGCGTGTGCTCGCGCACACCGGCGGCTGCTGGCTCGTGGAAAGAATGTGCGCCACTTATTATGGACACTACATTCCTTGGTTCAGTATCCCTTTAAATATTCGGTGAAGTTGGAAGGAAAAAGAAGAAGAGAAAATAATATTTTCCTCAATTGGGGGCTCGTAATAGAAGAGGAGGAAAAAGAAAAGTCAGTTGTTAGTCGAGCGGTGTGTATGGTGTTTTCCTTGTGTGTATGTTTATTATAGTTCAGCTGGCCTTACCTGAAGTAGTGGCTCTACTTTATGTTATCCCAAAGAGGCCAAAAAAGTCGCTTTGAATGTTTTAGGAGCCTGGCTGGGGGAGGGCGGCAAATCAGTCACCCTAAAGACCGTCGTTAATAAAACAACGAAATTGACAAATGTAAGTGAACGGGCTCTATTCAAGTGGATGGCCAAGTACAAGGAAAATGGCAACGTTACGGCTCCACTGTCCATGTTTCGAGGTGGAAAGAATGGTAACCGGGAGAAGAAACTGGATGACTTTGACCTCGGAGCGCTTAGAAGAATTGTGCATGGGTTCTACCTGAGAAAGAAGGTCCTTGCTGTTGCGAAACTGCAGAAGTACATTGACCTGGGGTGCTATGTTGCGCATTTTGCACTCCCAGGAGACTTGGAAGAGGGAAGTGACGTCAACGACTAGAGCAAATGCAGATTGGATGTTGACAGAAGAAAACAAAATCAACATCCAATCTGCATTTGCTGCGTTGTTGACGTCACTTCCCTCTCCCTAGTCTCCTGGGAGTGCAAAAAGCGCAACATAGCCCCCCAGAACCTACCCAGTGTATCGCTCTCGACGCTGCATCGCATGCTAGAGAAGATCGGCTCAGTCAGGTACGGTAAACAGTCGATAAATTCCCATCGAGTGTCAAGTGATCGGGTGATCAAGTACGCCCGCCTCTTCACGGCTTTTTTTTAAAGTTGTTTTTGAATGGCAAATAACGCTTAGAGCTAGCAAAGTACTGGTGACGTCATCCGGATTTTACACTTTCTGTCTGAAGCTAGAGCCTAGAACCTAGAGTGGGCTTCTACAAAGCTCCTTGTGTGCCTATTATGGCTAAACTTTGGCTCCCAAGCCCGGTCTAATAAAGCGTTTCTGCTATCTCCTTCCGAATGCGCCCATTCTTTTAATCTCGGAATCCCCCAACCCAGTGTTACGTCAGGTGGAGCCAAGGATTGAACGCGGTTTCGTGAACACTCTCTTCTGCTACTTACGTTTCCCTCGTGATCTTCTTAGGATTTTTATTGACAGCTTGAAGGTACAGGTGCCCCTCCTCACCCTTTTGATTTTTTTTTATTCTTATATTGCCAACTTGCAAGCTACTTGCCGAGTATCTTCGAAAGTAGTTCAATTACTTTACCAAAGCATTTGTACTCTACTCAAGATTGTCCGTTGTGAAAGTAACTTAAATGCTACTCTCACTACATTTTCAAGTGAGTATTTAGTATCCTAAATACTTTTGTTGAGTATTTGGCACAACACTGGTCGAGGCAGGGAACCGCAGCCCGTGTGCGTCCACAGGTCTCCAAAGCCGGTGGCTTGGAGCTTCCGAGGGTGTCAAAAGCGCGCATCCGCACCCCGCCCGCCATCTGTCGGCTCTTGCAGAAGGTGTTTCCCAGCCAGTTTCCACAGCCTTAGAGGCACAGATGATGATGATGATGCGGCTATTTCCCTTTGAATCGGGAGGACTTAAACAAGGTTTGTTTCGTGCCCAAGCCTGGGAGCGTAAATATATTAATGCTTCCTGACGTGGATCTTCTGCCAGTAGTCCTCCAGTCTCCTTTTCGTGTCTGCAACAAGCCTGTTTGTGTCGTTGGAAGCTACCTTCAGCCCCGAAGCTGGGCAGCAGGCTGCTGTGAATTATCCGATTTCACTGCCAGTGAAGCCCAACGCTTGAGCGAGCGCTAAGGGTTTCGGAAGTCGTGGGCCGAGATGGCTCGAGTCTCGCACAGTCTAGCACAATGTGCTCCACCGTTTCGTCGTTTACCCCAAACACCTTACACGTTGTTGAAGCAACAGTGGTGTCGAAACGACGCCTATAAGACAGCGTCCAGAGGGCTCCGGCACGTGCCTCGAACAAGAAGAGGCTACCCAGGCTGTTGTCATACAGCCGGACTTCCGAGGTTATGTTCGTTTTGTTGGTGAGGCACACCCCCAGCGTCGACTTCGTTTAGGCGTCCTGGAGTCATTGTTGGGTCTCGCAGTCTCGAACCCTCTTCCTAACTTCCGACGTCCACTCCGTCGCCGTCGACGCATCAAGAGGCTCCGAAAAGAAGCCGTACTTGTGTTGAAGTTGGCAGAGGCGCTTCTGGCCCTACCAATTGATAGATGGCGCCACAGCCAGTGCTGCTGTGACGCCGTCCCGTGGCGACGTTGCGAAGTTTGGTTAGTCCAAACCAGTCCCAGGTCAGCGCATGTACCGGGGCACTAAAGCGAACGGATTAAAACGTGCCGAGATAACGTTCAGCCAGCAGGCGCAGGGTTTTTCGGCGTTGGTGCGATCGCGTGACGAGCAGAAAGTTTCGATATGCCGCCGACCAAGTGCCGACGCGAATGGCGGTCGTGTCGGCAAAACAGGCTTCAGTACGCGCCCCACTAGCTTCATACGCGAGCGTCTCTAGGAGCCGCTCGTAGTAAAATTGTTGCGATTTCGCAAAGTACTAGTAAACGACGCAATGTTACCTTGGCGCGGACGGCAAAAGCCGATGCGGCGGCGTCTCGTCGAGCGTGCAATCGGGGGCCACCGCCGACCGATCGCAGCATGGTCGGACTCGCGACACGCTCGCCCGTACTCGGCAATCAAGCCCCGAGGAGGCTCTCGAAGCGTGGAAACGACGTGATGAAGAGGCAAAGGGCGTCCATATCACGAACAGACAAGGCCGGTTGAAACGCGTGCACGAACATAACGTTAGAAAAGTGCTGTCACTCGCCGCTACGAACACGGTGCGGCCGCATCCCTTCCACCTTACTTTTTCGAACTCGACGGCTACGTTGTAGCGGGGCATGCCCATCAAACGATCGTCGGGATACGTAGCAGCTGCATCGAGCCTAACGCAGTTTATCGAGGCTCTCGCTCCGAATGGCCGTCGACTCAACCTCCATGCTAGTTGCCGGTGTTCAACGTCATCATGAAGTGCAAGGCAGAGATTGTTCGCGTTGTAGTGACTGGGCTAAATCAACTGGTTCCGCGGACTACAACACAAAAATTATAGACGCAGTGATGCGATTGCTGCGTCCTCCAAACCGCTTTCCCTTTTACATTTCAGTAAAATGTGATAAATTTGCGACTACATGCGCCGTAAGTTGATTTCTTTGTATCGACACGATAGCCCAGGCGTCGCTTCGCTGATGAATCGTTGGTAGACTCGGGCGGATTTTCGAAAGTTCCAACTAACCCTCGGAATAAAGTGCTATCGAATTTGATCTTCGTATTGAACACTGACAGTCAGTCCTTGGGTGCAATAGTCCTCGTCTTTGGCGCATGTTTGGGTGGTTTCGTTAGCTCCCTCGAGTGCGCTTCCCACTGTGCGTTGCTGCACTGCGAAAAAGCAACGCCAGTAGATGTCCTGCGTTTGCTTGTCGTGCATTGACGCAGCGCGACGAATTTCCACTCCACGTTTCTCCGATTGGACACCTCCGAAAAGTTTGCGAGCGCGCCCGCTTGGCTGGCACTGGTCACGTGAGCGGCAGTGTCGCGCAGTTTTCGAGCAACCATGGAGCGCGCCGAGAGGCGCTTCGGAGAACCGCGAAAGTTGGAGCTTGGATGCTCTTTTTTTCTTCCTTCGCATCCAGTTCCACCGGCACCACTGAGAGATACACGTGAAATATTTTGCGCTATTGGCGCTTCGGTAAGCTAGCAATTATTTACGGTGAAGAGACAAGGTTCTGACGTGTTGCGGTTTTACTCACGCACGTAGAAAAAGCGCAGGATCTTTCACTACGTGGTTGGTTCAGCCGGTCAGAGCAGATGCTCTAAGATTCTACTTTTTGCGCTGTGTGATTGGTTCCCTCAGATGTCGTGCGGATCGTTCACTTGCGGTGA